AGGGAAAGTAGAGATCTTCAGGGGAAGTGGGGAGCTGGCAATACTCACCCTCCCAACTGCTGCCAATTGAAGTGCTGTTCCTCTGGTAGAACAGCTTTTTTATCAGTGGAATGATTAATTTTCCTCAACATATTGTGATTTACTTATCTGGAATGTTATTTTAACAAAACTCTTAGGTTCTTTTGCCACAAATCAACCTCTTAGTTACTATGACAGTTTTAATAAATAAATATTTGTAAATTTTTGATACTGCAATTGAAATGAAAAATTTAAACTGAACAGCAACACAATTTACTAATCTCCCTCCAATTTATGTGACCAGGAAATATACTGATTTTATGAAGTATTAGATATTTTCCAGACTGACAGATTAAATTGAACTAAATTAATTCAGTAAAATAACATATGAAATAATATGTGGAATTATATATGAAATATAAAAAATAAATTAATCTGTTAAGAAACAATTTCTTGTCATATATGTATTATATTGTCAGTGCTAGGCATGATTAAGTTATGCTGCGTCAGTTATTGCTAATTTTGTACATACATGCTCTATACTCCCAAAATTATTTGATTCTGAGAAAGAAAATCCAAAGGTCATCCCCCTGTTAAAAAAGGATTAATAAACTAAGTAATGAGAGCCAATGGAGTGGAAGAGGACCACCAAGGAGTGGAGATCTGGGAGTTCAACTCCTAATCTCATGTGTGTTTTTGTGTGTAAAGTTCCATCAAGTTGTAGCCGATTTATGGTGACCCTGTAGGGTTTTCAAGGCAAGATACATTCACATGTTGTTTGCCATTGCCTGCCTCTGCATAGCAACCCTGGACTTCCTCGGTGATGTCCCATCCAAATAGTAACCAGGGCCAACCCTGGTCTGATGAGATTGGGCTATCCTGGGCTATCCAAGTCAGGACTTAATCTTGTATCTAATGTCATATTACCCACAAAATCACTACATGGCCCTAGGCAAACTACTCTCAGCCTCATTCTCTCATCCACAATTTGGAGATATTAATATTAATCTAATTTATATAACTTTTATTAGTATGATAATATACTTTAAGTATTTTGAACACAGAAAGCACTATATAAATGCTGAGTATTACAATTGACAATTTGCTGCCCTTTATTGATAAATCAAAACTTGCTATCTGAGGAAGGCTTCCTCTTCATGATAGAATCAGGAATATATCCATAAAATGAAGAGGAGCTGTCTCTCACAAGATGGCTGCTATTTTTGTGAGTACTTCCTGCAAATATGCTACTGCCACCCCCATCCCATTCAAGTCAATGAAAGAACCCCCTTTGATATCAAAGGGTTTGAATTGCATATTAAAGTAGATTTGTTCCCCATTATAATTTTGTTGAAAGCAAAAGGAAGCATTAGGATAATACATGCTAAAACTGGCATCCATATTAGAAAATGGTACAGCAGGACAAATATTCGAAAAGTATTCACTTCTATACTGTAATACATTTCTGCTACACCAAATATGATGCTGGCAATAGATCATATAATTAGAAAGCACCATACAGACTTTCAAAAGGCTTTCAAGAACATGTTTGTATAGATTCCAGGATCTGTGAACATTAGCATATCTGAACTGCCCACTATACTTTATGATGTTTTAAATAAATGACTAATGCATTTCTGCTCCATGTGAAATTGTCAGAATATTAATCAATGGAAGAATATCATAAAGATCTGCCAGTGTTTCTTCCATTATTACTGAGGCACAATTCATTCCATGACCTTTAATATGCACCATGGTCTAGTAAGCAAAGATCAGCATTGGAAATAAGCCAGATCTGTTCTTATACCACAGAGGCCAAGTTAATATACAAGACATTTGTAATCTCAAATGATAAGTCTTCTATGAAATGACTGTGTGCACAGATGAACTAAGGGTAACAAAATGACTTCTCTATGGAACGGTGAAAGCATTTAAATGTCCCCCCCCCCAACATGAGTCCACCATATTTTATGAAATGACTGTGTACACAGATGAACTAAGGGTAACAAAATTACTTCTCTATGGAATGGTGAAAGCATTAAAATGTTTTCCCCCCCCCCAACATGAGTCCACCATATTTTGTGGGATGTCAGCACACCAGAATCTTGTTCCTAGATGTAGTAGCATAGTTTAAGCAGTGCTGCAGTCTAGCATTTTTTATTAAGTAAGTGTTGGCATGATCAGAGGGAACTTATTCTTGTTTTTATCCACCTTTTATACTGAGTCTTGTGCACACAGTTCTAAATCATTTTGGAGGGATCTTGAATTGCATAGAACAATTCTATACAAAAATGTATAGAATTAGAGGATCCAAAGGAGATTACCTTTCCTTTCCTTTGTTCAATTAAAAACTCTATGGCTCAATACCATGAGCCGTATAGCGAACTGACATTTCATTTATAATCTTTATTCTCAAAAGACAAAAGGATTTTTTGTGTGACATCCACAGTTACATTAGGATTTTGATCTGAGAGTAGGAAGAGGACCACTCTGCTTGGGTTAGCATTGTAGAAATTCACCAACCATAGTAGAATGAAATGACATCTTAAGTTAGAATATACAGGACATTCCAATAAAATATGAGAATTTGTATCTATTTTAACAAGGAAGCAAAAGCAAATTCTGTCAGAGTAGGGAAGCTGCAAAATCAGCCTCTTGTAACTTTCGCTGAATGGGCATTCATTCTAGCATAGTAAAAGAAGAAGAAGAGGAAGAGAAGAGATTGGATTTATACCCCACTCTTCATTACCCAACGGAGTCTCAGAGCAGTTTGCAATCTCCTTTCCCTTCCCCTCCCCACAACAGACACCCTGTGAGATAGGTGAGGCTGAGAGAGCTCTTTCGAGAACAGCTCTAGGAGAACTTGTGACTTACTCAAGTTCATGCTGCATGTGGAAGAGTGGGGAATCAAACTTGGTTCTCCCAGATTACAGTCTGCTCTCCTAACCACTACACCAAACTGGCTCTAAAAGTTCTAAGAAGACCAGGCAAAGTCAGATGATAAGCATAGGAGGGAAGAGAATCAGGGGGAGATATTTAAAAAAATTATGAAGAACAAACTCATCGAGCATGAAGAACAGAATGGGTCATTGTCACTTACTGTGAAAGGGTCTTCTCTTCTGAGGAAAGGGAATCTTGTGGGTGATTCTTACCATCCTTTCTGGGATTGTGAAGAACAAACTACCTTTTCCTCTTCCTGTCAGTGGCATGGGAATCACCTGCCCTCTCAATTTAGATAATTCCAAAAAGCAGTTGAAACTAACTATAACTCATTCTATAAGTAGACAATGAAGGCCAGAGAAGAAAAAAGAAGTAGCTTGATTAGACAATGACTTTGGGAGGGGCAAGATGTCCTCCTTTCCTCAGAAGGGAAGGACCAATGGCCCATTCTCCTTCTGAGGCAGAGGATATCTTGTGAGACCTCCCAAAGCAGTGTCCTCAGAATATGGGTGGGTATCTATGACGTACAACACTCTGAGTCTTGTCTCAGGGGAGGATGGTTAATAAGTCAAACTTAAGAATATAAATAAACTGTCCGCCAAAGACAGGATCAGCTGAGTTATAAGTATTTAATTTGTAATGTCAAACAAAGGCAGAAATGGACAGCCATGTGGCTGCTCTACACCCTTCTTCCACCAATGCACAGTTGTCAAAGGCTGCGTTGGTAGCCGTGCTCCTTACTGAGTGTGGTGTAATCCCTGCTGGAACCTCTAACTTTTGAAGTCTATAGGTCTCTGTAAGGCATGATTTGAGAGTACAGTTTACAGCAGACTTAGACATCCTCTTTCCCAAGTTGGGAGGAGAAATATTTATAAATAAGGATTCTGATTTCCTAAAGCTCTCTGTCCTAAGGAAGACCTAAGCAATAAATTCAATCTCCTCCTCCTCCTCCTCCTCTTCTTCTTCTTTCTGTGATCTAAAGGAGTCTGGATGTGCAAGCAGTTCACTGTTCAGAATGTTGCTTGTTCTGCTCTAGCACTGTTTGACATTGGTGTCAGTAAAACTCACAAATTTGCACATCATGTTTAGCTGCCTCTCTGCAGTGCATGGGAAGGGGGAAATGGGGGTGCAGTGGGCACTTCACAGTGCACATGTGTCAACTCTGATTTCACCTCACATTCCAGAATATAAATTATGAGCCATTCTTCACAGCTGAGTCTTCGGGAAAGCACAGTTGATCAGCATTGGAGGAAACACTGTTATTAATCTCCTCCCAAATTCTTGTAAATTCAATTATAAATGAGCCCTTCTTGGGAAAGAGGAACATTACACTAGTAACTCCTCTAAGACACTATAATTGTTAGGAAAATTCTCTTGTGTTTTCCCCAAATTCTTCCCTCTCCCACTACAACCGATATTCATCCACTTTCAACTTTGTGTGACTCCTGGAGACTAATGAATATGCTCAGTTCTGGGGCCAGGGAAGAGAGGTAGAGCTTTGTTTTTAATTTAAAATTTAGAAAATAATACTTTTTCTGTAAGCCTGGAGCATTTTCAACATACTAGGGAGTATACAAAATACTAATATTTTTTCTGTAAGCCTGGAGCATTTTCAACATACTAGGGAGTATACAAAAAATTCTTATCTTGCCATTTCACTGGCCCACTGACAGGCACTGGACTATCAAATTTGCTATCATCATTTTATGCCAGACTA